CATTAGCACCTCTAGTAATATATTTACTGAGAAAAATGGTGACGTGTTCAATACTTATTTTACCCGCTGTATATATTTTAAAGAAAATGACCAGTTTAATCAACTTGGTTTTGTGGAGCCAGTTTGGTTCTGTAAATTCAACATTTTATTTGTCAGAGAGCATAGAAAAGTACTTTTACTTCTACTTTCCCAGTTTTTGTGAGCAGTTTTATGACTTAAATAGTTTGCTCATCAGTGACATTTAATTTTACCAGTCATTTTCTGTTAAGGTATGTATTTTTACTTTCAGTTAATTTTTTTGAAGTACTTTACAGACCTCTGGTTTCTGTTTGCTTTAAGCTCAACCTGCTGTCATGAGCAGCACCAGGAACTGGACCGGAGATACGTGAGAAGGCAGACGAAGCTTAAACATACAAAGAAATGAGGAAAGTTTCCAGACTAACGTGTCATTGTGACATGTTTCAACTAAAAAACAAACTGAAAGAGATAAAAAAATATATCTCATCTGTTCATCCCGACCATCAGCAGAGTTGATCAGTGATAAGAAGAGGACGCTGCAGTCAGAGCATCTTTGTGAAGGAAACAGGGTCTGTGGAGACCCCCGGTCTGAAGCGCTGACCACTGAGCAGGAGGATCATTCTGTCATTATACAACCATTTCTTCAACTCAAGACAACTTTAGACTCAAAAAAAGGTTCAAACGTTAAACAAAATGTTAAAATTACAACATATAAAACTGAAAAGATCAAATAAATCCCTTTAGTTTGACTCATTTATAAAAAAAATAATCCAAAGCAGACAGAGCCCGTTTCACAGAATAAACTTTAACAAGATAATAAAATTAGATCAAAGTAAATGAGTTTATACACTTAAAAAACAGATTGTTGGATTTAATTGAATCAGTTATGTCAACAGTTTCCATTTAACATGGTTGAGTCTAATGTAACTTACACAATTTATATCAGTGTAGTTGTGAAAGTTGCTTTAGATTTACTCAACTCTTAGTTTAGTGGAAATTGTTGACATAACTTGTAAATCCAACAACCTTTTTTTGAGTGTATTTCAGTTTTCAGCAAACGTGATGTGAAAACTTTTATATGTTTGTACAGAAATTCATAAAAGAGCCTCTGAGATGTTTTAAATCTGATTTCTTGGTGTTTGAAGCAGAGACCCAACAGAACCAAGGGGTTTTGTGTTTATTTATTTTTTTATACTTTGATTTTCTGTTTTTAACTTAATTTGAAGGGAGAAGAAATTTGTTTTTAATAAAACTGACACAGCAGTTTATAAAACCGGTCACTTTTTTTTTATAGATCCAACATTTTTAGTGCTAAAATCGTGATTGAGTCCAGAACAACTAAACCTGTGTTTATGTTAAATATTAATTAATGCATTAAGGCCATTTTTTCAGTTTGTTTAAAATAATTATTTTATTTGTTACTGAGCCTCATCAATCAGAAAACTAAAATAATCTCAGTTTACTGAAATTGTTCAGGCTTCAGCGGAAATTTCATAACCTTTTARCAGTGTTGTATAAAGTAGCTCAAAGTGATACTTGAGTAAAAGTACAAGTATCTTATCATAAAAATACTTTGGTAAAAGTTAAAGTCTTCTCTAAAAATATTACTTSAGTAAAAGTACAAGTATCTTATCATAAAAATACTTTGGTAAAAGTTAAAGTCTTCTCTAAAAATATTACTTGTGTAAAAGTCTTAAAGTATCTGATATTTTTTTGTACTTAAATTTCTGACAGAAAATCTACTTAAGTATTAAAGTAAAAGTACTGAGTAAAAGTGAGCAGTTAGATTTTACAAAATGACATTTATTGGGAGGTGACTTCTCCAAAAAATATATTTTCTAACAGCGTGCAGCTGTGATGGGTTGTGTACAAGATAATAGTGTGTCAGAATGGTATATATTTATACTTCTCATCCAAACACAAATAAATTCACTCTATCCAGGAGACACTATTTATCAGGATAGTATTTTAAGTAATAACAACTCAGAATAAAATAGGAGTAACGACTTTCTACTTCTTACCTTTTTAAAAAAAATGTAGTGAGTTGAAAGTACAGATAATTGTGTAAAAATGTAATGAGTAAAAGTAAAAAGTACACTGAAAAATAATTACTCAAGTACAGATAACCAAAAATCCTACTTAAGTACAGTAACAAAGTACTTGTACTTCGTTACTTTACAACTCTGCCTTTTAATCCGACTCAKATGATGCTGTATTTAATTCTCTTAAGCTGATAAAACTGAAAGGATGCAGTAAAATTTGTAATAAACGTGAAAAAATTAAAACCTGAAAATGTTGCGGAGCAATGGGAGCAGTTTCAGATGAAGCTGGCTCAGAGTTTATTCTGCAGCATCAGCCTCTTCCTGTGGGAGGAGGTGGGTCCTCCTCAGCTCCTGCTGGGTGCAAACAGGAAGGTTTGTGCAGCTGCTGCCTCTATCAGCTCAGCAAACCATCATCCAGACTGTTCATCAAACATTTTCTGACACTTTTATTGGTTCAGAGACAACTGGTTTAAAGTGACAATAAAGACGTTAAATCATTTCAGAGTCATTTTATTGTACGAATATAAAGAATAAATAGCACATTTCTTATATTTACAGGATAAAACTCATCACCAGAACATGTCTGCGTCTTTAATCATCTTTGAATCATCAAAAGAATCAAAATAAAAAGGATCAAATTTCGTGTGGCGCAGCTTCATAAATACAAAATATATAAAAACCACTAATCTGCACAAATAAAGACTCTGGTTACAAATAATACTGACTTTTTACAGGAAGGAATTAAAAAAAACTGCATTTACAGAAAATACATTCTCACACCCTGTAGTGCACGTGGGGAAATAAAATCACTGAGCTTATAATTTAACTTGATCCAGTCAGGTTTCTAACTCGAGCAGGAGCATTTACAGTCCGTGATGAGCGGGTACTGGATCGGGATCCACGCGCACTTCAGCCCCGCCTTCCTCTGCACGCACCTCCACCTCAGCAGCGTCAGGTGGGTCGAGTTCGCGGGTTTGCAGACCATCCCTTCCGGGACGGAGCACGACCTCTTGCTCAGACAGCTGGCCGCGCGCACGTGGCGCGGCCAGAAGCGGATCCCCAGGTCGGTCCAGCTGTACAGAACCGGGCAGGAGGTGTAGGCCCACAGCCACTGCTGCAGCCGCCGCTTCAGCTTCTTGCTGGGTTTCTGTTTCTTGCCCACCTGGACGTCGAAGTCCACGGCGCGGATCTCTTTGGGCATCATCCCGCCGCCCGCCCTCAGGCTGTCGGACGCGTCCAGCTCGTCGTTCCCCGGGAACCTGTCCTCCGCGGGGACGGACGCGGACAAAAAGCGCAGGTCAAACTCCCCCAGGATGCTCCTCAGCTCCGTCTCGTTCAGGTCCCGCTCCTTGGGGTCAAAGACCGGATCCGGGTCCTCCTTTAGATCCACCAGCGGCAGGCTGTCGCTCGGGATGGGCCGCAGGAGGTAGAAGTGCTGACAGACCCCCCCGTGCGTCAGCAGACCCAGCAGCAGCACGTACACAGCCGCGCACTGATCCATGTCCACGCAGGTCCGCGCGCGCAACCAGCCGCTGCTTTTACTGCGCGTAATTACGCGTGAGGCGTCTCCAAATAATAAAAAAAAGAGGAAGCTGCGCATGGAAGAGTCCTCAGAGCTCAGATCCCCATCGCGACACCGTGTCCGCGGACAGAAGGTTCAGAGGAGACCCCTGCGCCCCCCGCATCCTGCTCCAGCTGCAGAAAAAAGCGCAGAGCCAAAGCCGCGAGCTCCGTTTTATCCTGTGCGCGAGGCGTGATGTCACGCGTGTGCCCCTCGGTGAATGTGGGTTTGTTGTCTAGGAGGAGATCCCCAATACCTCCTTCTTCCACCGCGCTGGAGGGGGGGGGGGGGGAGACGCCCCCTGTTGGTTTTCCAGACTCCATTAAATCAATCTTTCATTCTTCACGGCTGCTGGAGGAGAATCCTGCTGGGAGCAGCTCCAAGAGCTAAAACTAAATCTGAGGATTTACTCAAGCTCCACTCTTTCATTTCACTACATTTGACAGAAAAACACAGATTTCAAACAGAATTACAACAAGACCAGTGTTGTATAAAGTACCTCAATGTGATACTTGAGTACAAGTATCTTATCATAAAAATACTTTGGTAAAAGTTAAAATGTCTTCTCTAAAAATATTACTTGAGTAAAAGTCTTAAAGTATCTGATGTTTTTGTACTTAAATTTCTGACACAAAATCTACTTAAGTATTAAAAGTAAAAGTACTGAGCAAAAGTGAGCAGTTAGATTTTACAAAATGACATTTATTGGGAGGTGACTTCTCCAAAAAATACATTTTCTAACAGTGTGCAGCTGTGATGGGTTGTGTACAAGCTAATAGTGTGTCAGAATGGTATATATTTATACTTCTCATCCAAACACAATTAAATTCAYTCTATCCAGGAGACACAGTTTATCAGGAGAGGATTTTTTAAGTAATAACTCAGAATAAAAAGTAGTAACGACTTTCTACTTCTTACCTTTTTAAAAAAATGTAGTGAGTAGAAAGTACAGATAATTGTGTTTAAATGTTATGAGTAAAAGTAAAAAGTACACTGAAAAATAATCACTCAAGTAAAGTACAGATACCCAAAAATTCTACTTAAGTACAGTAACAAAGTATTTGTACTTAGTTACTTTACAAATCTGAACAAGAAGCAGAAGAGACCAACATCAAAGTTTATTTTTATCATTCCTCATTAAACTCTGAGCGGAGAGGGCGACATGCATTCCTTCAAGGAGGGTGAAACTTACTTTCTTTAAAAAAAAAGAAACCCAGAGCAGCTCTGAGCAAACACAGAATAAATCACTCTGTTAGCAGAAGCTCATTTTTCATTAAGGATTTACAGCCTGAGCCTGAGACGAAACGTCCCGCTAACTCCACTCTGCAGCATATTTACAGTTTGTGTCCAGCTCAACATTTGTCCCCGACCCGGTGCAGCTCTCAACAAACCGCGCCAAATTAGCTCCCAAATAAACAACGCCGGTTAAGCTGCAGCCGTGGAACGGATCGCAATTTGTGAACCTGTCTAAACTCGCCCTCAGAGGATCGTTCTTTAAAAAAAAAATACAAAATTAATGGAAGAAGTTAGCCAGCTGCTGCATCAGCCGTAAACCATTCGCTCCAGATAAATGCATCTCTGTTTCTTTTTTCAATGAGCTAATTCACACGCCACTCGTTTTAGTTTACGGTCAAACGACGGCGAGAATCTGGAAAATGTCGCCTTTATATTTCTCATCCGACCGGCGCGTATCGTAAACCATCCGTCCTGAAAACGGCTGACGGATCGGCTCAGTCTGGAGCATTCGCAGCRAGTCGACAAACAAACCTCAGAGCCAAGAAATCACTGATTTGACTTTTATTCGATTAAAAAACAACAACTTCATCACTTATTAAAGCTGCACAACCCGTCTAATCAGATTCATCTCATCATTTATAAGGTTTGGTCTAAATATTTACAGCTTCGCTGGTCTTTAAAGTGTCTGTGACATGCATATTCTTCAAATACAAAAAGTCAAAGAAAACATCTTTATATTTAAGAAAGTTGGAATAATACACACATGATTTAACCCATTTTTCCCCATAACTTGCATATTTTCTTTTGAAATTGGCTCAGCCAAAGTGAAACAGGAAGTGACATCAAAGGGGAACTCTTATTTGAACTTTAACTCTTCTTCATCTCTGACAGTAGCTGTTTCCATGTGCGCAAAACTTTGTCGATATTCTGTTAATGTCGAAAAAACACAGTTTCACAATTGTTGTGTTTCCATTAAGTAATAAATGTTATTAAAGTCATGTGAATACGTTTGTTCTCATGATAAATCATTACAAACATGGCAGCGATGGATGTAAACACATAGCATGTTGCTACCACGACACTAGCGCTCATCATCAGAGGAGACGTCGGCGTCTTTTATCGAGGCTTT